AAAGTATCCAGAGAGTGATCCAGGTCTCTGTCTTCACTAAGTGTGTCCCCATAGCAAATTGTATAACAGCAATTTGTACACTCGTATTTTTCCTGTCCCCCAGTGCTTTCCACACACCTACACAGTCATGCTAATTAGATCATGTAATAAACTTAAACATAGCAAAAATCTCTCCACAGGGTGTTGCAAGACAGAGCTAGATTTGGAAAGCAGCCATTCATGAATTTTGTTTTGTTTGAGAAAAGCCAAAGGATGTTATTTTGCTGAAGATGAAGCAAACCCCATGTAATAGGAGCTGTAATCTAAGGAGACAAATTATTTTAATAGTCCTCAGTGAGTCCTGATATAAGGACTTGTTTATATGAAAAAAACTGCTAGATTTTAAAAAAGCCATTAAAAATAATTAAACCTAAACTAACATTAAGTTAAAGTTGATTAGTTTAACTAAATTTAACTAATCAAAACTAAACTAATGTTAATCCATAACTACAGAGAAGCCAAGTAGCAAGAAACTTAACTTTGAGCATCAGGTATCTTTCAAAGTGACTACACTAGGATATGGTGATACATTCAAAATGTACCTCGATCAGATTTTCTATAGATGATCTTAAACCGTGCATAACGCAGTAATCCCTGTATTTGCAGGGTAATACAGGAGAGTGAAAACACAGCCTCCTCTGAAATACCACTTAGCACTGCAACCTTACACTTGCATGCTCATTTCTAGGGAAAGGAGTAATTTTGGGCGCTCTACCAATTTGACAGCAGTGTTTAATTGGTCTTGGACTCTACAACACAGTTGGTAACATGAGCAGCTGTCAGGTAGGAATTGCTTTCTTAATTTCAGTTCAGACGCTTAAAGTTTTGGCCACCATTGCACTGAATTGCATTTAAACCTGTAGATCTATTAAGTCAGCTCTTAAATATAACCACAATAATTTTCATAATGAACTAGACAGACTGAGAGTGTTACCAGATGACTTCTGCAGAGCTAACGAAGGCAGCCACATGGAGCATGGAGAACTGACATGTTATGAAACACACGGGAGAAGAAGCTGAGGCTGTGGCTGGGTGGTGGGGTGCTGGTCCGGGAAAATCCTGCCTTCAGATTTCATCAAACTGCCATTAATGAAGTATGATGATAACATTCAGCTATATCCCTGATCAACACTAGATGTTGCTATGCCGCTACTCATATAAGCTATACATTAGCGAGGCTTTTAAATGGTATTTACTGCAATTTCCTCTTTCCTGTTTCTATTCTAGACTATATTCTGAAACTAGCTGAGCTGCTAGTTTAATTTACTTTATTAATATCAAGTTTATAAGCCCCTCAAATGTACATGTAAAACTTTACAAGCAACAGAGACTCTTCTAAGTGATAACGTGAAGCAATTCCTGTATGAATGTCAAATATTTACTTAAACTCTGCTTCTGAATTTTTTGCAATCCAAGGGGAATGACATTGTTAGCCGGATGATTCCGGGAACAGACTGTCAGCTGCAAGGCCATGGAGGGAAGTTTGTTTATAAGGGGGGAAAAAATACATAAAAAAATATAAAAAAGTGTTTAGCCCTGCTGGGTTTCAGGCTTTCTACTCCCACGTGTTTGAGTGGGAGAAAGGACAAATCTTAGGACGTTGATTTCCCCATGGCAACAGAAAACGGAAATTACTTTAACCCCATCTAGTGACAGATGACTCATTGCTCAGCCTGCTGCTGTTTTCCAAGCACTAAAACAATACAGCTGCAAAGAAAAGGCCAGCCTATATTATCTCATAGGCTGAGCGCTGGGGCTCGTGGGAGAGGGCAATTCTCTGCCTGCCTTTTTATCGAAGAAAGACAGAGCTGGAGCCTTTTGGTGATTCTTTTATTGTAGAAGGCAAATGTGCCTGCATGCTTCCTGTCCCTGTACTGCTGGTGGGCAAACCCAGGGTGTCCCCGGGACCGAGGTAGTGCTGCACCTGTGGGGTGAGCTGCTGCTGGTGGGTGTCCTACTGCTTGATCCTGTTCACCCTGCATCCAGTGGTCTAATGGGGCACTTCCATGCGTTCAGTTTAAACACATTCACACACCCGCGAATTACATGTAATGAATTGTGCATGCAGTACAAGGGTGATTCGTTCACAAATGCAGCCCAATGAGGGGAAAGCAGGTATGAGCAGGCCCCTATGTATGAAAAAGTAGTCGTAACAAGATCTCACAGGAAAGGCTGATACAGAAATATTCAGCTTTGAAAGCTGAATTGTTGTAGGTGAAAGGATAATTAGGAACAGCGGTTTCTGAGCAAAGATGATGGAACCATTATCACTTGGAGTCCTTAAACACAGAGCAGATGTTGATGTAAAAGAAGCTTCAGCCCAGCTTGTAGGATGAAGAGGTCAACTATGTGCTCAGGAGGTCAGCCTTAACTCCATATCTGTCTTCCTGCACCTTAGACCTCTTGCAGCAGAGCTGCACAGAGCTACCAGCTCATCCAAGGAGCATCTCTGTTGAGCACCTCCAGCGTCTGGATGACGACTCTTGCTCAGCACCTTCTGGACATCGCAGAGAAAGGCTGTTTAGGAGAGGAGCTGGTTTGAGCTCACAGAGTCAAGGGTGGTTCTTCATTTGCATCTTTCCACCAGCAGCTCAGTGCAGGGAGGTACCCTCTCTACAAATGCTGGTTTTCCCAAGTCCTGCTAAGTATTTAAGTAAGGCTCAGAAATAAGGCTAGTAAGGTTTACTGAGCCTTGGCTGCTCTTTGCACGTAAAATATTACACCACTGAATAGAGAAGGTATTAATGCTACCACTGAGATGATATACTCAGTAATTAATTGGTCACCACAAACTGGGGGCAGGCATCACAGTACTGGGAAAATCAGGACCCCAGGAAAACTAGGAAAAATACATGGTGGGAT